CAACTGTTAGCAATACAATAAAAAAAATATGAATGTTTTCCTTGTTTTGGAAATATCCAGAGAAGATTGTATAACTCTTATTTCCTGCCAGAAGCTTTTCTGGGTACCTCACATTGGTGTTGAAAGAGAAACTTTTTCAAAAGAAAGTTGCTTTGCAAGATGACCACCTACACAAGTAGTGCCTTGCAAGCCTTCAGCGAGCGCTGTCCCAGCTCAGGCCTCCAATGGGTTCAGCAGCCAACTGCATCAGGCCAGCCAACATATTGGGCTATTCTTATGCTGCAGGCTGCCAAATGAAGTGCCCCAAAGGAGCCAGACAACCACCGAGTCCTCCTCAGACCTTCCAGTGTGTGTGTGTGTGTGTGTGTGTGTGTGTGTGTGTGTGTGTGAAATAACTAAACATTTTAACATTCCTTAGTTTTAATTTCTAACACATCAAATATCAATAGCTGTAAGTATAACCCATATAAAGCAAATCTGTTTGGGGTCCTCAGTCATTTTAAGAGTGTAAGGTAAAGGGAACCTGGGACCAAGATGTTTGAGAACCAAATATTTCTCTACCCACCACCTTCCAGCCATTGAGACTCCCTCCAGGGTCTCTGCCTGAGCCAAGACTGGGAACTCCAGTGGCCCTTTCCCCAACTGATCAGTTTTGTAGAGCAGCCAATAGTTGTTGGAATTTTGGGTCAACATTTGTGTATACTAACGTGTACATAAAAAATGAAATAAAATATTTCATAAAATAAATTAAAATATGAAATACAAAATAGAGGGTTTGATCTGGTGCAGACAAAAATTGACTAAGTATTTAGAGTTCCCTTAGGGCAGGGGTCCCCAAACTTGCACCTTTAAAGACGTGTGGACTTCAACTCCCAGAATTCTCTAGCCAGCTATGCTGGCTGGAGAATTCTGAGAGTTGAAGTCCACATGTCTTAAAGTTGCCAAGTTTGGAGACCTCTGCCTTATGGTTTGAAATCTGCCAAACTTTCAACCTTTGCAATGCTCAGTTATTTGGGGGGGGGGGGTGTTGGAGGTTAGGGGCTTGATCTTAAATTTTATTGAATTTTACAAACTTTCAGTTAAATTATCTCAAAATGTTTCATAAAACAGTTTCTTAAAAATTCTTTCAGTTTCTTAATCTGAAAATTCAATTAAATTACTAAATTAAATTCAATTCAATTAAAATTCAATTAAATTACTAAAGGTAAACTATAAAACTAATATAAAATAACAATATATGTAAAAATAAAAATCTAAATTAACTCATTTTTATAAAAGAAAAATATATTAAAAATAACCAAGATAAAACAATTTGAAAGAAGAGGGAGGGAAAAACCAAAAATGAAAGTTTTTTAAAAAAGGTATCTTGCTGAAATCACAATTCTCCACAAATCCACAAGAGGACGCTCAGGCATTAACTTACCTTTACAATTGGGCTTAATTTCAGATAGTGGAGAATGAAATGTCATTTGTAGCTGCTGGTTTTGAATCCTTACTTGTGCCTCTGCTAGCAGTAAAGCCCTGTAACTGCCAGTCTTCAGGACAAATTGGCAGAGGACTAGCAGAGGGTGCCCACGAACACCCAGAAGACAGGACAAAAATTCCTTAATTTCAGAACGCCACAGCTTTGATTGGGAAAGTGTGAGTATCCTATACCTAAAGCTAGACCAAGCTAAATCCCCCAAATGCTCAGGAATTCCTAGAAGCTTGGCATTTCAGACAAATCAGCCATCAGCATTCACATAGAAATAAACCACATTTTTACACCATTGAAAAGAGACAATAAGAAGACAACCAAAAGACCAGAAGACATCCTCTCCAGCTGCTAACACCCAGATAAGCAGGGGTTAACACCCCACAGACATTAAACAGTAAAAGATATCCTAATCAAGGAACTACCAAGGAGAAAACCACACTGCTACCAACACTGGCAGGTCAAGCCACATTATAAACAGGGAGCAAACCCCAAACTCACTAGCACTGATGGTGTTGAGTAATGAAATATCTGCAAACAACCAAGCTCAGAGAGCACCAAGTATTCCACAGTTGAGCCACAGAGATTCTCTTACTTGTTGGTATTCTGTACCAACAAGTTCTCTTGCCCAGTGGCTTCATATAGAAGTTAAATAGGATCAGGGAAAGAGTTGAGTCCTCCAGATCCTGCAAAGCAGAAGTTTGGGGCCAGATCTCTCTACCAATACTGATTAGAACCAAAGGAAAAAGGCTAAGGAAAGTACATCTCTACTTCTTTAAGCTGCTCCAAAAGCTGTGATGACTGATGGCACGGAAGGCTACTGAAGGATCAAGGAAAAGTTGATCTATGACTCTTCTCCATCCAATATTCATGCCATTTTCCTTACTCAGAAGGTTGCAGATGATTCTTTTGAAATTTGTGTAGCTAAATTTTATCCAAAGTTCAATTATATTTCCTAATCCTCATCCAAGTAATATGCAAATATATTGAACAGCACAGGGCCTAGAGCAGAGTCCTGCAGTCTGCTACTTAACATTTCCCTCCAGCCTGGACATACTCTTGATGTCCATCTAACAGCAGCAGAATTCAAGCCCCACTTTGTCATGTACCATGGGAGGTCTTGTTGACTGCTTTGCTGAAGTCACGATATCCATCACATTCCTGCTGACAACTAAATCGGTCCCTGTCAAAAAAGAAGATCAGGTTGTTTGGCCACAATTTATTCTTGATAAATCTATGCTGGTTCCTGACAAGCAGTAAATTATTTTCAAAATGCTCACAGACAACTGCTTAATCATTTGTTCCAGAATTTTGTGAGGGTCAATCTCATGCTGACGAGCCCATAGTTCTATCCTTTTCCTGCTTTTTGTACAGAGGGAGAGGATTTCCCCTTTTCCAGTCCACTGATACAACTCCAGTACTCTGTGAAGATGTTGCAAAAATTGCCGAAAGGGGCTCAGATGGCATTCGCAAGCTCCTCAACTCTGAGCTGTGACTGCTCTGTTCCCAGACCTGAGACAAAACTATACCTCTGCTTGCCCCATCATCAGGACACTCATCGTCCCCTACACCAGCACCCCCAGCCTCTTCTTAAATGCAAGACTGGGTGATGTCATCCTCCACCCCCTCCCATTGCAAATGTACCCCTCACTAGTAGCGTAGGAAGATCTATTTTGTTCTGCTTCAAAGCCATTGTTTTCCCTCCAAAGCCCTTGCAAGTGAACAACTGGTGCAGATGCACAGTCATCCAGGTCAGGTCATTTTGATCCTGAAGGACGTGTGCCTAGCTCTTTGGAGATGACCGGTGGGGAGAGGGATGGCACGGATATAGGAAAGAGAAGTTCCTGTGCAGGACAGAAGATGTGACCTGGGAGTGGGGAGAAGCTTTCTAGAGGTGGATGAACCACTTGGTCCTCTGCACTTGTCAGTTGCTGGCACAAATTATTTATCTTCCCCACTCACTTTGTCAGAAAGCAGGGAAAGTGTGCCTTATTTTATTACATGCTAATCCATAAAAATCTCCAGACAGTTTGTTGGCAGGACTAGACCTCAATGGTCTTTTAATTCCACTGTAGATCAATAATCTTGTAATTGACTTTAACAGATGCTCTCTGGAGCCACATTCTAAAACACAAGCTGCTGCAATGCCATCAGCAAGTGACAGCAGAACAGGTCCCCGGGGCAGGCCTCTGAGGGCCCATCAGCCAAAGAAGCCGGAAGAGTCCCAAAGCAAACTGGCCCCATTGGGAGAAGACCGAGTGCAAATCCTGCTTGAATGGACCTGCAGTTCTTTCCCTTATTGGTGGTGACCTTGTTCAAAAATGTAGGTTACTAAATGGCTCTATTCGTGTTTACACTTTTGACAAGTGTTAGGCAACCCCTTCACAGACCTTACTCTCACTGCACAGAAACCTTGCTTGCAGTGGGCCTGGGGACTCCCCAAAGGGACAAGGACACACACACAGAGGCACGAAGGCAGGTGCTTGCCAAGCCAGAGAGACCGTGACCTTTGGTGCCCAGCCAGCTCTGCAACCAGGCAGGGGTGGCCTTCAGCTCAGGGCTGGGGCTGTCCTGCTTTCAGGAGGGGTTCTGGATGTGTTGAGAGCTGCCATCGATGAGTGGACTGCCCTGGCATTGGTTTATGCTACCCACTCTCACCCCCAGGCCACCCCTTGGCAAAAAGACCACAACCAACCGCTTTCCTTAAGAGGGGGAGGGGCTGGGAAGGTTCCGCAGCCTACCAAAACTGGCCCCAGGAACAGCGACCCAACGGGGACCCAGCAACAACTGGCCTTCGAAGACCCGCGCTCCCCCGGAGTCGAGCCGAAAGCCTCTCAGCCAAGCCTTGGGCTCCTTTCGAAGGCGCCTAAACCCGCAGACTCGCCCAAGGTTCCTTTGCGGCTGACCGGGGCACCAACTCCGCCAGGCTCCCCCGGGAGGCGACCTCCGCACCGCGCAGGCCCTGCAGTAACTGAAGGGGGGGGGCAGGCGGTTGTCCCCCTCCCCCCCGTCACTTAACTGCAACACCTGGGAAGAGCGGAGAGGCTCCACTGCACATGCGGCAAACCTGGCGGGGAGGGGGGATTTAGCCTCTGGCCCCTTCCCGACCGTGTTGGCGGGAGAGCAGACGGGCTGCCGCTGAGGCGAGCCTTTGCCGCGCGGGAAGGAGCCCTTCCTCGGTCGATCAGGTGGCCGCGCCTCCCGGGCTCTCTCGCCAGCGGCGTCGCTCTGACCGTGTCCCGCGCTTTGCAGAGGTGCAGTGCCGTCGGCGCTGGAGGCTCGATCGCAGCCGAAGCAGCGGGCCTCAGCCGAGCCTTCCCGCGAGCGCCGGAGGAGAAGGGTCGCGTGAGGCCGGACGCCGCCCTGACCCGGCGCGCTTTCCTCTGGAGCTGTGGGCGCGCATCCCCTGGCGCGGGCGGAGACGAGGCCCCGAGGAGCGGGGGCGGTGCCGGAGAGAAGCGCTCCGCCCGCGCCAGGCTTCGCCTTCCGAGCAGCCTCAGCCTCAGCACCAGCAGCGGCTGGAGTCAGGTGGCTGCACTCTCAGCTCGCGTCGGGGAACCGCCCGCCGGCGGAGGCAGCTTTGGCGCTGCACTTGAGTCGGTACTCGCTCGCTAGCTCTGCGGGCACAGGAGCGACACCGCCGGCGCCTCTCCTCGCCGAGGCTCTGGCCCGCAACCGAGCCCAGCCGCTTATGCCGGCCGGGCCGAGGCGCTTCATTTGCAGGCTCGCAACCGCCCAAGTTTGCCCGGTAAGTTCCCATGGGGCTGCCGCGGGGCACGCGCGGGAGGCCGGGCGAGGTTCACTTTCCCGGTGCCCGGTCTTCCTGGAACAGGTGCTGCCTGCCCGTGCGAGGCCGATCGGGCGGCTGCCTCCTCACACCGGAGAGGCGCCGCGGTTCCCTCCGGCCGGTGGCCTCGCCGCGGACGCTCCGGGAAGCTGGCGAGACGCGGAGCCTCTTTGGGGGCGGGAGGCCAGTGGCTGCGGGCCGAGCAAGGAGGCCCCTCGGTGCGAGCGACCCCGCCCCGTGCTCGAGGTTTGGGCGCGCTCGGCATCTCTCGGGAGGCTGAGGGAGGGCGGCGAGCGACCTGCCGCTGAGGCGCTGGCTCCTCCTTCGGAGCTCCCTGCCTCCCTCGGGACATCGCTGGCGCCGCGCCTCGCCCCGCGGGACCCCTGAGAGCGGGACGAGGGCGGCGGGCATGGTCGCTCGCAGGCCGTCCGCGGTTGCTGGCCGAAGGAGGCGGACCGAGCGGCGCGGCCCCTTTGCGGCCGAGACAAAGCTTCCGAGCCGCGGCTCTCGTCCCGCCGCAGGAAGGAAGCCCGAGTGGGGTGGTCGGCGGGGCCGCTTTTCCGAGAGCGCGAAGCTCTTCCCGGAGGCCGTCTCTCCTGCGGCAGACGGTGGCGCCAAATGTGGGGAGCGGTGGGGCTGACTCGGGAAGGGCAGAAGCGGCCTGGCGGCCTCAGGTTCAGATTCGGTTTGAGGACTGGAACGAAGCGCAGCTGGTGGCGAAGAAGAGGGAAGAAATATTTCGCTCTACTCCTTCTTAGTTGTTGTTAGTGTCCAGCCCGTAAAAACAAGGCAGGATTAATGCGATCGGAAGGCATCCCAGCGCGAAGCGTTTCCTCACGGATTTGCTGCAATGTTTACTTTGTACACCGTCCTGGGCTCCTTTCCCTGCAGTCCAAAGCTGCGGCCCTCATGGGGAGCCTGTCCCTTTCCCTCCCGGAGGGTCTTTCCCCTTGTTCCTGGTCCTTCTCCACACTCCAGAGAAGGACCCAAGGCCGGACAGGGGAGCTTAGGAAATACTGTTGAGGCCAAGCATGCTGCAAAGGGAGGCAGATAACAACAACTCCTGTGATGCAGCTGCTGGTCTCTGGCCAATCTCTCTTCTTCCCGGTTCCTCTTTCTTCCTCCTTCCTTGGCAGAGCAGCAGGCAAGGCACTTTGGGCTGCAGGGTGTGAATGCTTGAGGTTCCATGAACACATTCTTTAAATCGGGAAAGGAGGTGGCTACAGGATGCCTGGCTGTCCTCTGGTGTCGCCTTGGACTTGGGGTCTCCCAAGGGAGGCTTGGTAGTCTCTCGCTTCTGAGCGGCATTAGTCAAAATGGACACCTGATCACATGCTGTCTTCCAGCAGCCTAGTCACAGTGCCTTTTCACGTGTTTGCTGACCTCAAAAGCCCAGTTTGGTTCTTTTTTTATTTGCATTGCAGCTTGTTTAAACTTCACAAAGGCCCTGCAAGGACTGAAGTGAACTTGGCTGGTGTAGGGCCATCCTGTCTTGATGATCACAACATGCTTTGTGGGCTAAAAGCCCTTTAAAATCAGAGCTGGTCCAAAATGTGGGTAAGCAGCACAGGATACGAAGATTACACCATGGCTGCGCTGAAAGAACCACCCTGTTTACTGTGCTGGTGTTAAGATCTGCAGAAGATCTTTTGAAGACACTTTAGTAGTGCAGACTTGCAATTGGCTACAGGCTGGACTAGAGGATCTCTAGGGACCTAGCATTGTGCAATTCTGAGCTGAGAGAGCTCAGAGAGCCGTCTTTCTGACAGGAGGGAGAAAGATTCCAGACTATGGAATACACTGGGAATTTGAACTTAATTAACTTTGAACTAACTTAATTTAAATATGTTTAAGATTTTAGAAATGTAACTATAATCTGAGGATTTCCTAAGGAATCAACATCTCTTCATATGGTTGATTTGCTATATTGGCAAAAAAATAAAACGGAAATTAGATGTAAGTAATATAATAAGAAAATAATAATTTATTGTGCTCTTATGCTCCTCCTTATAAACATATTTTTAGAATGGAAAATAAACAGACTAATTGTACAAAAATTACCATGCTGTGTTTATTGAATTTTGGTCTCTGAGTCAGGGGTGGGATTCAAAATTTTTAACAACCAGTTCTGTGGGCATGGCTTAGGTAGTGGGCGTGGCTTGGTGGTCATGTGACTGGGTGGACATGGCTTGGTCATGTTATTGGCTGGGTATGGCCGACTCAATATCACTCACATCGAGGCACGCATCTCCTCGCCTGGCCTCTCATGACTGTGGGGATGCTGCAACAGTCGTAAGTGTGAAAAAGGGTCATAAGCCACTTTTTTCAGTGCCATTGTAACTTTAAATGGTCACTCCACACAAGCAAAGTACAAGCAAAGGAGCGGAAAAAAAGCTCCAGAGACATTCAGATACAGATACAGGTACAGATAATCAGAGTTGGAAGGGACCTTGTAGGTCATCTAGTCCAACCCCCCGCCCAAGCGGGAGACCCTACACCATTTCTGACAAACGGCAGTCCAATCTCTTCTTGAAAGTCTCAACTGATGGCACTCCCACAACTTCCGAGGGCAAGCTGTTCCATTGGTTGATTGTTCTTACCGTCAGAAAGTTTATCCTTGTTTCCAGATTAAATCTCTCCTTGTTCAGTTTCCATCTATTATTCCTTGTCTGGCCTACAGGCGCTTTAGAAAATAGCTTGACCCCTTCCTCCCTATGGCAGCCCCTCAGATATTGGAAGACCACTATCATGACTCCCCTGGTCCTTCTCTTTACTAGACTAGCCAAGCCCAGTTCCTGCAATCGTTAGTTGTATGTTTTAGCCTCCAGTCCCCTAATCATCCTGGTTGCTCTTCCTGAGAGAGGAAGTCTAGTCCTGCCAAGAATGTAATAAGGGTTAACGGAGAGGCAGTTTCTATAAGCAACACCAGAATGTTTCCTTCCTGCCTTCCTTACAGGATTAGGCCAGTAATTTCTTCTAACAACCGGTTCTCCGAACGTTGAACTGCTTAGAATGTTAACAACCGGTTCTAGCAAATAGGTGTGAACTGGGAGAATCCCACCCCTGCTCTGAGTTATAGCTATTATTAGCGCTTCATTTTTAATATCTTGATAGATTTTTGATTCTAAGAAAAGTCTTATTTAATTAAGATACACTTTCTGTTTTTTTTATATAGTAATCCTGTGTACAAAGAAAATTGTGGTGTTCTGATACTGTAAAATCTTTTAATTATTTATATCCTGTGTGTTTGTTTTATATTCACTATTATTTTAAAAAATTGCAGGTTTTTTTTTACTCCTTTCCCTCTTCTTCCCCCCATCCAAAACCAAAAACCAAAAACTTTTCTTCTTAGGTAGTGTTGAGGAGAACAAATTTCCTTCTCCTCTTTCCTTATTTTTTCTTTTTCTTTTCCCTTGACATCTAGAGTTTTTCTTTCAAATTATCTCTGCGGCTACATATTGCATAACAGTCTTTTGCATCGTACCACTTAGAGGGTTGCTATAGGAAATGTTCTTATGTTGCACTTGTTTTAGCAATACTAAGACAGAATAAATAGGTGGATGTAAAGACGAAGGCCTAATCAGATCTGGGTACTCTCTGAATATGTGTAAAGTTTTCCTGACTTCTGAGTGATACAATTAAAAAACACACAAGTATGAAGTGCAAAACTGCCTATGTGTGGTGAAAATAATTACTAGCAAGCAGCCTCTATATAGACTACATTTAACTCCCCGACTGCAAATGGCTTTGAGCAAGACATTTTGCATACTTGAGACCTGCTGACTTTAATGTTTCTTTTTACCAAGGAAACCTATCTTAAGAACATAACTGTAAAGGTTCTGTTGAGGAGTTCTGATCTGATACATCACTTATTTTTTTAAAAACATTTTTCTAACCCTAAAACTGACATCTTTGCTTAAATGTGGATGAAAACAACTTACCTTACTTTCTCTCTTGATCAGTTTTTCTTCTGTAAATAGGAAATGCAGTTTCTCCAACTGTCATAAATTACTTTTTAAATAATTCTATGTATCAAAATGTCAGATGAGCAAGTGTTCAGTATTTTTGAGATGTATAACATTATGAATTTAGTTTGGAAGTCATAGTAAGAGTGTTCTTTGCTTTTTAGATGCTGCAGGGAGCAACGGAAAAGAGAACCAGGAGTTTTCAGACCTGTGAGCTCCTTCCTGAATCTGTTCCTGCCTTTTGACTTGCCAACCATGGTTAACACATACCAGTATATAGTGTTGTGGCTCATTAAGAGAGCCCTGCCCCATCTTTCATTGGAAGCACACAAATGGTTGCGTCAAGAAGGAACTGCTGTCTTTGTGGGGAAGGATAACTGAGCTTGCCTTCCATGGTTTCTGCTCTCCTCCAGAACCCAAACCTTTTTTACATATCCAGGATTTGCAAAGGAATGTTTACAAAGAAGTTGGAAAACAATACAAAGAATAAACAAGACAGCTCTCAAAGCAAAAAGGAACTAAATATTTCCCAAATTGGCCAAGTAAAGCTATTCTCAATTAGTTTAAAAAGCACAGTAAAAAAAATAGCTAAGCATACCTCTGTTCACAATTGGTCAGCTAAAGAGGAGAGAAATAACCATGAATTTTCTTTGTCTCCAACTTTCAGCTATCGGGCAGCTATTGCAAACGGATTGCAACAGAGAGTTTTCTTAAATGAGAATGAAGATCCTTTTCAAGACGCATCTTCCAACGAGAGTTCACTCTCAGAGTTTTTAAGTGAAGCCAAAGACCAAAACAGGAGCAAAGAATATTCATTGCACATGATGCCCATGAGGCGCAACAGGAAGAGTGTGAGTAGCCTTGCCCCTTCAGATGGCAGTTCCGAAGGGGACCGCACACTGCACAACCTCAAACTTGGTGCTTTACGGAAGTTGAGGAAATGGAAGAAGAGCCAGGAGTATGTCTCCTCAGACTCCGAGCTCAGCATGTGGAAAAAAACCTGGGGCCTGAGGAGTAAGTCTTTGGACAGAGCTGCTCGCCCGCCAAAGTCCAGCACCTTGGAAGCAAGCTTGAGTTCCACTGGTTGCATCAGTCAGACCCACGATGTGATGGAAATGATATTCAAAGAGCTTCAGGGGATCAGTCAAATAGAAACGGAGCTCTCTGAATTGCGGGGACACGTCAATGCTCTCAGAGAGTCCATTGATGAGATCTCCAGCAATGTGGAAGTCGTGCAGAATGAAATTGAACAGTTGAGGACTGGATTTGTACAATCACGCAGGGAGACACATGATATATATGACTATATCAAGCAACTTGGACATGCAGGAAGCAAAACTAGTCTTAGATTTTTAAACGTGCCAGAGGAGAAGTTTGAGAATGTTGAACATGTAGTGCACAGAATATTAATAGAGAAAATGGGATTCTCAGAGGCTCAAAATTCTGTCAGAATAGAATTTGCACAGCGACTGGGACAACAGAGAGACTGTCCTAATACCAAGCCACGAGCCATCCTTGTTTATTTTGAAGCATCCCAGCACAGAGACTTGGTTCTGAAAAAGTCTTACAAGCTTAAGGGGACTGGGATTGGGGTTTCAGCTGAAATTCTCCCTCGAGATTCAAAAGAGCGGAAGCAGAGACGTCTCCCTTCGTCTCAGACGTATGAGAGCATGGATCTGAAATGCCTAGCTGCTGATCTCAGAGACAGAGAACAGGATTGGGAGTTGCTTGATAACCATGGCAAAGAACTGGAATCTGATATAAGTCGGAACAGGTATACAAAAATATCCAAATCTGCACCACAAATAAAAAGTTCTGCAAAAGACAAGGGAGATGTTCTTAAAAGGGCTCCAGGCAGCAACGCTTTCCCAAATCAAGGCAGCCCACTGAAGGAGATCAAAGCCAGCAGCTCTTCCAACATGACCTCTCTGTGGCCATCACAGGACGATTTGGCAGCACTGAAGCTCAGTCATTCAGAGTCTGATTTTTCTAAACTCTGCCAATCTTTTTCCGAAGACTTTTCAGAGAACCAACACTTCATCAAAACGAATGGGAGCTCGCTTTTATCTTTTTCCGACCGGGAACTCTGGCAGAGAACACAGGGTGACCCCGCCGAGTGGAGTGGTGATCTGCAGGAGCAGGGGTTTAATCCAGAAGGGCTCCCTCAAAGACTTGAGAGTGAAATTGAGAATACAGAAACCATCGACAGTGGGGTCAGCAACGGGATGGCGTGTGCCTCAGGAGACCGGAGCCACTATAGTAACTCTCAGATTTCTTTAGAGGACGTGCTTTCTCCATGGAAAGATTGGAATCAGCTAGACCAGAATAGAGACATGGGAGTAGATGCCTCAAGCTATAAACATTTGGGTTATAACTTAAATGATTTTCCCCATCAACAGGTAGACCTCGGCCAGTTCTCAGATGCGCCGTATGAGACAGAAAATTATGATTACACCCTAGACAGTCACTGCCTCTCTGGGGGAGGCTCCACTGCTGAAATGCTGTGGTCCGAGCAGCTCACTGAGCGGCAGGAGGCTAGAGCCGATGCCCTCTTTCCGACCCAAAACAGGAAGCCTGTGATGTATCGAAGCCAAAGTGAATTGCCCAGCACGGATGCTGAGGAAGGGCCTCCCAAGTCTTGGCATAGCTGGCTGAGCATTGACCTTTCCGACAAAACCCCCCTCTTTCCCAAATTCGGAAACACCCTGCAACGGGCAAGGTCAGCTTTGGAAGTGGTATGGAATAAGAGCACCCAGAGTTTAAGTGTCTGTGAGGACAGCGGGTCATCTTTTATGGGGAGATTTCGGACACTCTCTCAGTCCACTGCTAATGAGTCAAGCACCACCTTGGACTCTGACATTTACACAGAGGCGTCCTATTACCGAGCTGAAGATGGGGAAGAAGATCCCAGCGAATCCACGGGCGATCTTGAAACAGATTATGTGGAAGTCATGGAGCAAGTCCTTGCTAAGCTGGAGAGCAGAAGGAGCGCAACTGAGCTGGAAAAACAGGTGCAGGAAGGGGAAGTGGAGGCAGCAGCGGTTTCACGAGAAGGCTCTCCTGGTGGCAGTTTGGAGAACCAGGTGGCCGATCAGCCTACGTGGGAAGTTGCCGGGCAAGGCATGCTGGTTGGAGGTGGACTAGATGCATGTGAAGATGAAAATAAGAATATTCCAGTAGTCCCTGCTAAAGCGCCCATTCAAAAAAAAGGCACCCCATCTTTTAAAGAAGCTGCTCTGAGGGCATACAAGAAGCAGATGAGCGAACTGCAGGAAAAGGTTCTTGCTGGAGGTAGGGTGGATTTACACTTTAGTTACAAACAGCAACAAATCAAAAAAAGAAAGAAAAAATATTGAATTATAAGAGTCCCTTTTTTCAGTTGGAATTCAGTGTCAGAGAACCAGTTTATCTCCAATAGAAATTCTGCTGAATTCTGCTGTAGCATCAGTGTCCAACATTGTTACAAACTGTGCCTCATGATCTGAGTTACTGTCGGAGATTTGGCATGTTTTGTCCCACTGAACTAATTAGAAAGAATCAGTTTAAATACAATATAATTATTATGGCTTTAGGGCAGAGCAGACTAAACTCTTAGTTTGTGATCAACTCCATGATGGAGGGTAAATTCACCACATTTCCTTGAGGCTACAGAGTGTGTTCTTTGTTTTGAGGGTGAAGTAATGTGTGATTACGGCTGAGTATGATATGGCAGGCAATAGATTGTGGTTTAGAAATCTTGATGATGTGTATTATTATGTATCGATGCAGCTAGCATCTTATTTTAAAAATTACGTTTCATGGGTGCAAATCTCTGTTAAGTCCTCCAGTGCCACTTGTGAGAGACCACCTGGAAAATTCTATGGGAAGTGGTTGATTCCCTGGAGTATCTGAGGTGAGGCCTCTTATTTTCCCAAACCTGCTGTGATGCTGATCTCTATCTTTAATGTGAATATTGGGTCACATCCTAAAACTCCTAATAGTTTTGGGTTAGATTGACAGCCTGCCTAAATAATGCTGCCTGATGGTCTCAAAAGAGTTTAGTACAATTGGCCATGAAATGTTTGCATGGTGATGTTTAAAGTGTTTTGGACTGGAGTGGTGGTCAGGGTTGTGGACAGGGTCTAGAGAAGAAACCATGATTAAAATTAGGAGCGGTAGGCATTATAATAATTACGTGGGCTCATCTGCTCCCCTCCAGAGAGATCACCTGGATGGCGGCCAGGCAGGTAGAGGCCACTTTCAGTTGAAGGTTTATACATCGCCAGGGTCAGGCCCACCTTGCTTCATTTCCCTGGCTGAATCTGTATGAAGGATGGGTGAAGGGTGCTGAAGGACGGGATGCCCAAAGATAAGCTGAGTGGGGGGGTTTCGATACCGAAGTAAGAGCAGCCAAGGATTGATAACCACCAAGGCCACCGTGGAGGCAAAGGGCTCCCTTGGGCCGGTTAGGAAGTGCCTCGTTAGCTAGTCCTTCTTGTGGTGTCAGAGAGCAGATTACCCAAGGAATCTTTTTTGACCATTTTGATTTGGAGAATTCACGGCTGATAACTGTAAACTGAACAACCAGGAAATAGCCTCAGAAATGACCTTGGAGAATCTATGCAGAAACAGTTACAGAAGCAAACACATCCATTGGGCTAGGGAAACTGAGAAATCAGCTCAGATTAATTCACTGGGGTATAAGAGGGAGGGACAGCCCAGTTCTCAAAGCCTGCTCGGGTCCAGCCTATATCAATAAAGTATCATTGCTCCAGTCAATCCTCTGCTCCCCCACCCACCCACCACACTCTTTGCTGGCTTTAAAGGTGCTGCCTCTATGTAATGGGCGAGATCCTCCATGCCAAGGGTCTCGCCCTCTGGATCTTGTAAAGTTTTGCTGATAACACAATTCAAGAAAGACTGCAAGAGAATGGCTGCCTCCCTAGCCATGGGCGATGGGGCTGGCTGGATCCCAGCCTGGAGCTATGGAGGAGCTTTCCTACTTAGTCCTAGCTCCTCACAAAACAAGGGGTCTGCACTCATATCACATCCCAAAAGCACCTTCCCCAGGCCCGTGTGTTTCTGCACAGTACGCCCAGGTGTAATCATGATTTCTGACTGGAAGCTCTGGCCCAGCACACTTCATGGTGGATCTGAAGCTTTTAGATAAATGCAGCAGCCCCCTCCCCATCTCGTGTCCAAGGATTTCCTTGTGCCCAGTTTAGTGGGATTTGCTCACTTTGTCTAGCCCCATCTGCTTCCTTTAGAAACTGACTGTGCTCTGGAGCATAGCTTTTTGTGGATTGATTGATTTGGTTTTCTATCCTGGCTTTATAAGTTACTTTATAAGTAACTCAAGGCAGCGACCATACATAATGCTCCTTGTTCCTCCTATTTTCCTCTCAGCAACAACAGTCCTGTAAGATAGGTTGGGCTGAGAGAGAGGGACTTACCCAAAGTCACCCAGCCTACTTTCATGCCTAAGGCGAAACCCTCTCCTGGTCTCTAGGCCAGCATCTTCACCATAGGCTAAACTGGTTCCAGTTCCAGTAGAGAAGAAGTTTCCTATGGGTGACCTAAAGCAGGAAGAGACTCCACTGTAACTTGGGTTAAGGTTAGGTTCATACCTGGGTGGTGAGGCTAACTGTGAGGAGAGCTCAGTGACAAAAGTGCATCATAGGATGCATCCTTCAGGATGGAACTTTTAGAGTTCCACAAGGTAAAGGATGTGGACTTGTGTGTGTTCAGAGTCAGACTGCATGCCTAGATCCTAAACCTGGAATAGTGTGCCATTGAACAAGGGCTGTCTGTCCCATTTCCAGGCTTCTGCCCCCATTTGGAGGAAATTCCTCTGATCTGAACAAATCTGGGATGGAATAAACTGAAGGGTAGTTCATTCTGGGAATAAATGAATTTGCCACGCTTAGCTGAAAAACTCTTCCTGTGTTAGTTGCAAAATACTAGAGATCTTCTGGAAAGAGAGAGGGTGCTTTCTACTTAGCCCCTTGTGGAAAGGCTAAATGCCAAAGCTTTTTTGCAAAGGTCGGCTGCCATGAGACCTTTTATGCCCCTTGTGTACAAGCAACGAGGAGTGGTTTTCTCTGTCTTGCAGCTCTCCCCAAGTAGCCCTGCCTGGTATGCACCTTAGAATATTTGTTTTGAATGAAATTGCTGTCTTTAAATTCTGGCTAGGAAGGTTTTTGGATTTTCTCCGTTGCCATGTGTCATCAAATTGACAAATTTCTTATGAGGCCACTTCTGTCCACCTCAGGATGGCCTGAGAAGGTAATTGGAGATGGATAGGTAACAAAGGGAACTGCCCCCAAGAGTGAAAAGTATTTTTGAAATCATGGCCACCCAATAACAGTAGCATTGATTTGTCTAGAGGCAAAGCCAGAGCATTATGCAGAGGACAATGCCCTGTGCCCAGGAGCCAAAGAACTGAAACACTACAAGGGCTAGAGACTTGCAAAGTGGGCTGAGAGAAAGGGATGTAGCAACAGTAATATAGTATGCATTTATTTATTTATTCTCAGGTCTAGGACAAGGAATGGGGTGAGGTAGAGCATGGTTCCACAGAAAAATGGTGGTTCAAATGCATAGAATAATACAGTGCAGTGTTTAGCTGGCAAAGTCCAATGAAAAATTGACAGGCAAACAGCAGGCAGAGGTGCAGCCCTTAGACTTATACACCATTTCACAGTGCTTCACAACCCTCTCTAAGCAGTTTACAGAGTCAGCCTGTTGCCCCCAACAATCTGGGTCCTCATTGTACCTACCTCGGAGGGACGGAAGGCTGAGTCAATCTTGAGCCTGGTGAGATTTGATCTGCCAAATTGCAGGCAGCCGGCAGGCAGCAGAAGTACCTTGCAGTACTTCGCCATCGAGGCTCTTGGTTGGTTCTTAGGCAAAAAGTACGTAAAATCTAGTGAGTTTGGAAATTCCTAAGGATTTTCTGCTACCATGGATGTATTTGGTTTATTGTTTTCCCTGATGGGCCTGTTTCCAATCCCTGTCCCATGGGCGGCAGAGGGTCTTCTTGGCATGTGGCTTTTGCTCTGGGGAGCCAGCAGTCAACAAAGACTTTTCTGTTCAAGAAACATTGGAGAATGATCTAGGATGGTCTCTGATAGGATGCCTAGAAACTGAGATGAGGACCCAACAATGTGATCTCAGCCCCTGTGACAGATAGTGCTGACTAATCCTCAGTGTTTAAAACTCTACATGAAACCTCACATAGTTCAGTGTACAGGAACTGGAGCTTCTTACCTGGCTTATTTCTTTCTGCTGGGGTTGAGAGCAGGACCAAGCCTGACAGACGTTGCCTTAGAACAGGGGGTTTTGTCAACAGGCCAGGAAATCCCCAGTCTTGGGGGAACCTGTAGCCCTCTGCCTCAGTGCACAGTGTAATCTGCCAAGGCTCCTTTTCTTGTCCCCCAACTTGTGACCCACTGATTGCAATTTCTCCTCTCTAATGTCAACCAGCTATGAGTTTGCTTTGGCCTTCTCTGGATCAGACCGCTGCTATTCATTTGCTATGCGCCATAATCCTCTCAATTGGGCACAGAACATTAGATGCTTTTGCCTGCTGCTAGTAAGATAATATCCTCCAGGCAAACTCTGCAATGGCTAATGACTTTAGAATAATTTAGTGCCACCATCCTGGGGCTGGGGCAACAGCTGTCCGGGCAGACAAATCCAGGGAGTCAGCGAGGGATTCCTTCCTTCTCCCTGCTTGAGTTCCTGAAGTCACAGGAATTTTCTGGACAAGATTCAATATTAGTCTAGGCCACTGCAATGCTTGCTGCATCTTCTGACTAAGAAGGTCCTTTATTTACAAGGTGGACACGAAATGTTTCCTGGCCCCGAATGCATGAGACAAGGGCTGCGTGGAGAGCTGGCTGGGGAGGACAAACAGGCTGGGAAGAGAGCAGCTGTTTTCAGCCCCCCCTCCCCACACACACCTTCACCATGTCACTCGTCCCAAGCTACTAGCTCTTTTCAAAGAAGTCTTCCTGGTTGGTGCTCTGTGTCTTTTTGGGACACATCCTTGTTAAAATGCATAATTTATAGCTCACTAGATGTCTGGATACAGGAAGCTTTAATTCCTGTGGCCGCAAAAGATTCAATAAATGCAGCATCATTCATAACAAGATATTTGCTGAATATTTTCCTGTCTTCACATTCTGCCTCATTTCATTCTGGCTTCCTCTGTTTAATTGAGCAATCAAAATTGAGTAGATTTGTTTTTGTGGCCAAGAAAAAGACACAATACTTGTTTCTGATTTACAAGAAAAGGAAGGCTCCTATATTAATTACTGTCCTTCATTGTCTCATGTATGGTCTCAAGGCAGAGTCATGCCAAAGCCTTTCTGCATTTACTGTTAGTCACAGAGATCAACCATTTTTTTATTTTTATGTTTCCCTTCCAGGTCGGTAATTCCTTCTTAGCATGGCAGGGGTGGGGGGGGGGGAGAGGGACTCCTTTTCTTTAGGATTGAAATAAAGGGCCATCCTCCCCTCTATGCCCCCTTCGAAAAGGATGGCTCTCCGTTCACCCTCTGAACGCCACTGAGTGCAGGGGGTGGGGGGGCGCAAGGTGTTTGGAAGGCTGTCCATCCAGAGCCAGGACTGCAGGAAGGATGTCAGGGGCATCCGAGAAGGAAATCATGACTTGATGGTGGTTTCCCTGGAATATGTGAAGTGGGCAAGGGTTTCCCAGCATGCCTCCTTCAGCCTGTGGGTCAGGGAGGTTGCTTTCCCTCGGGCTTTGCTGTCCAGGAGGGGCTTTTACTGCCTTAATCCACAGCTTCTTGCTCTGGTTAGGTGGCCCATGATGCTGCACTGAGAATGAGCTTTCTGGACTGTGAGCCAGTTTGCCAGGCTGGCATCCAAGTAAGCAGAAGGGCTCCTGCTTCTGAGCAAGGCTTTGTGGGATCCCTTCCTAAGGATGAGTTGCTTCATGGCCTGAAAGTCCTAATGCACACCCAATATTTTCTTATCAGGCTTCCTAAAGAATGGAACCAGCATGAGAAAGAGGTCTAATATGCTAGGTCTTCAGATGCCAGCTGTAACTTTCTCTACCAGGCAGAAGGAAGGGGGAAGGGAGATCCCAACCTGGTTTAGCATCTGAGTATAAAGCTCAGGAGCCTCCTGGTAGGATTGCAATATTCACTATGCGCATTTCTTGGAGACTAATTTTTATTCCCCTCTTCCCAATTCTTTTTCAGAAAGCAGTTCTGTGGATGAAAAGGTTCCAAATTTGCATCTTTCCTTAAAGGGTGCTGTCTTTTGTGGGCGTGTGGTTGTGGCTCAGTGGACCTGTTTGGTCTTTTAATTTGAGTTGTGAGATGCGCATGCCCCCCCCCAAGCTTTCCGTGCTTCTGTCTTTCTCTTTCTCTGTTGATGTGTCCAGATGCCTCCCATTGATATGCAGATCGAGTCCTCACTGTTGTGGTTTTCTGACTCATAAATTGTGCCAGCTTAGGGTTAGGGTTAGGGATCTGCTATTGCCAAACCCAGGTTTCCCGTTTTGCACACTGACCAACTGCCGCTTGTACGCCAGGGTTTAAAGGGAAACCGCCTGCAGGGGTGGGGTGCACAAGCCAGATTCCCCCCTCAAGGCTGAATGTTGCTCTGTTGTCTTTTCAAACAAGCTTTGGCGTGGTGGAGCTGGCCCTGCTTCGCATTCGTGTTTCCGTCCTCAGTGTTGTTCTGTATTTGGCCCCTCTCTGCTTGCTACCTGCCAGCACTTGCTGAGAAGTTGAGCTGTCCCTTCTTTTCTTTCAAGGCTCTTACTGTCAGCGGACGTTCTTTGGAGGCTTCCAAACTTGCCATCCAAGCTTTTGCTGGGTAAGTACCTGCACCTCCCTGCCTGAAAAACTGCCCTTGAAGATGTTAACCTTCTTTGGAGGAAACATCAATAGCAGATGTACCCTACATGCATCTCAACAAGGTGGGAGGAGAAGGGAAGCAGGAGAGAGGAGGCTCAGATGACTCAGGAGAGACTTGATTAAAGTTGAGGATATTTGAAAAGAAGCTCAGGACACAAACGCAAAGTGGAGGCATGGAGAGACAAAGCCAGTGAATTGCCTTGTTTTGCAAGGACTACTTTGTCTCCCTCATGTAGCCGCTGGAGATCTGACCATTCCTCTGAATCTCCTTGCTCCAGCTACGCTGTCAATTGTCTGAAATATTGTCAGAGTTGCCAGAAGTTAACTAGACTCCATTTTCAGTTTTTCTTCGCCACATCTCCAACTTAAGTGCCAGAAGAGATCCATTGCCTGCTGGCCCTGCTGATGACAACAGAACCTTCTCTTACTATTCAGGCTGTTCTCTGACTTAGCCCAATATGTTTTTAATCAGTTGAATTCTCCCTTTATCAGCTTTGAGGTCCTCCATTGATTTCAAAATTTTGGAAGAGTTTTATGATATGCACGGTGTGTGTGTGTGTGTGTGTGTGATCATTTCATTGCTCCTCTCTGATATCTGTGTGCCGGTCAATTTCTGTTTATGGAGGCTTTTATTGTTATTCTTCATCATGCCATCAGCCAGTTGTTTAGATGGGATTTGGCATTATCAACTCCTTCCCAAGGACTTGGGATAGGCAGATGCTGATATTATTATTATTATTAATCATAGCATAGTCAGCCAGATGTTCAGACTGGGTTTGGCATTTTTGTCTACCTATCGAATCCTTACCAAGGACCTGGGATAGGCAAATCTGGATGTTTGACGGTGTTACAGATATTGTCAGGATGGAAACTGATTCAAGTAAAGCTGCCTTCTGCAATTGGCTGATGGCAGATTTGTCAATGCCTGTGGTGTTCAAGTGGTGCTCCAGTTGTTTTAGCACTACACCCAAGGCACCTATTACTATTGGTACTACCCTTGCTTGCCTTTGCCACAGTTGTTCTATTTGTATGTCTTTGTATTTTCTTACTTTCTCCAATTCTTCCTCTTCTCTTCTACTGTCTCTAGGCACTGTCTTGTTAAAGTAGTGTCTGAGTATATAGGCAATTCTAAGTAGGGTGGTTTTTCAAGTCAGGATATTCAAGTCTGATAAGTTCAGAATTTTCATGTATCCAGGCAAGCCTATGCTCCTAGGGCTCCTATTGTTATTTGTATAACCATTGATTTCTTCTTCCACAATTGCTTAACTTCAATTTGCAGGTTGCAGAATTTCATTATTTTTTCTAGCTATTTCTCTTCAATTCATGCATCACCTGGTATTGCAATATCAATGAACCAGGCTTCTTTCTTTTCTGCAATAGTCATGTCAGGTTTAGTGTGGGACTGACGTCTGTCTGTTTGGATTTGAAAGTTCCACAAGATCTTGACATACTCATTTTCAAGAACTTTGTCAACTTGGTATTCCCAGTAAGTTTTGCTGTATTTGAACCCAAACAGATGTTCAGACTGGTTTTGGCATTTTTGTCTACCTGTCAAGTCCTTACCAAGGAAGGACCTGGGATAGGCAAATCTGGATGTTTGACAATGTTACAGGTATCATTGCAGGATAGAAGCTGTACTTTTATTATGATTTTTATTTTCCATTACACTGTGCAGAGCAATGTCTAATCTACAGCAATGTCTCTCCTTCAGCCTATAATTGGGTGCAAGAAAAAGCACCACACAGTTTTCCTGGGAAAGATCTGGAAGAGGCTGAATAGCTCATTGGCAGAACCACTTTGGAAGAAGCATAAAACCGATAGCAGTGTATGAACTTTTATTGTGGTCCTCTTGAGCTCAAAAGGCCAAGGTGTTCTCATTCCGAAAGTTCTGGGTTTTTTAAAAGGTTTCCCAAAAGGTTTCAGGGGACTGCAGGAGCTTGTGACTTTTAACATTGATATGGTTTTCTTCCATATGAGCCATGCACCTTGGTACGCTCTCCATGCACCCACCCCACTCTCTCACCTTTTCAGCCCTGGGAGTGCTCTTTACGGGATCGACAGCATGCCAGACCTGCGACGGAAGAACACATTCCCTGTCATCCGAGATGTGGTGAGTTACTGGCAGCACTAATACAGCACTAATGCAGCACTAATGCTGTGGGTAATGATGCCTCATCTGCCCTGCTTCAGCTAAGTGTGGCTGCTTCTCTGTTCATCATGGAACCCAACCAGAGCCCAGAGGAGCTGGGCTCTGGGAAGAGGGAGCCTGCCTCTAGCAGCAGGGCCAGCCAGCCTCAGCCTCAACCTCGGCCTCGGCCTCAGCTCTGTCCCGCTGATTCCTTGGGAAGAGTCGCTGGCAAGAGCTGCAGTCCCAGCCAGGCCGGGACTGGCAGATTACAATCAAGGCGCCCGTAGAAGAATGAAATTGGTTATTCTCACCACGTTTGGTTAAAGACACGCCCAGACCTCTGGGTTTTGTGGTTGGTTAGGAGAGGTGGCTGCAGAATTACAGGTAGCCCTTGACTAAGGACCACATGGAGACGGAAATAAGTCATTATGGTCATAAGTCACTACATGGCAGGACCTGAATTGTATGGCCATTTTTACAATAGTTGTAAGTCGATAAGCTGCATTCATAAAGCAGATCCAGCTTCCCTGATTGCATTTTTTTTTGCCAGAAACCAACAAAAATATTGCAAATTGTGATCCTGTGCCTGCAGAACTTAGTGTAACTTCAAGCTGTTGCCAAGCACCCAAATTGTAATCAGTTTGTGACAGTCGTAAGTGCAGATGTAAGTTGTAAGACATATTTCGGAGGCTATCGTGAATTTTGATCTATCATTAAATGGATGTCAGTCAAGGCCTACCAGTAATTTATTTCATTTTTTGAAAATTTTGGATTTTTACCTTCTTGATCAATATGTCCTATTTAAAAAAAAAAATACTATCCATCTTTTTCGGGTGGAGACTATTTTAGCCTAAAACATTATGTTCAGTGAATTTAAGTGGTGCTCACAGGGAAAAATATGAGATATCTAAGAGATTCTTATACATTGTGGATCAGTTTAGTTACCCATTTAAATGTTTTCAAGGTGCGAAAATAAGGCAGGATTTAACTGTGGTATCTCTGCAGTGTGGAAATATTAATCATTGCATGTCATTGTCCTTACAACATCTGACTATTAATGCTTTTCCTAATTCTTTCTCATCAATGCTGGATTTTCCAGGCAATGGTAAGTGGTTTTATGGCTTGATATATTCATGTATGGTATGTTTCAAAGGTTCTATCCCAAGGCAGCGACATTTCCGTGATAATGCTTTGATGTCAAATTGATTTTAAGATGTTAAAATCTGCCTTAAAAATGTTTTGTCTCAGTCCTAAAAACAGCTCCCAAGTCCACCCAGAAGCCCGCTGGCTGCAGGTGCACCTCAGAGATTGGCCTTCATTCTTGCAGGGGTCCATGTGGAGTCCTGGCCCCCTGGATCAGGCTGGGCTTCTCTCCCGCTGAATTAGCTGCAGCTAAAGCGGACACAGCAGTGACCATGGGACTCCGCAGGGATCTGTTTTAGGGGCAGGTTCATTTGAAGCAGGGGCCGATGAGCTGCTCATCAGAGCTGTGGATGACATTAAATGGGGAAGGGGGGTCTGACCAATGCTCAGGGTGACAGAATAAGATGTGTGACTTCAAAGAAAGAAATAGCCAGTCACAACTGACAAACGCTTGCTTCTTGTTGGTATCAGCCTTGCTTGCTGGAGTCATCATGTTGGATGAGTTTATCGGCCTGAGTTTCCCCAGAAATTGCAAGGGATTTTTCGCCTGATCCTTTCAAGGTTTTCCAAACATGGGGGGAAGGGGGGACAGCAGACAGGGTTATAAAAATTTTAATTTTGCAAGGGGGCGGGGACAAGAGAATTCCCTTCAACAGGGAGCGGGGCTGCTGGTGGACTCCAAACATTTTGCTGAAGGTTAGCAAGTTTCCCATGAAGTTAATGCTGCTGGAGAAAATGTCATCTTTCTACGTTTTCCGGGCCATCGTTATATTTACTCCTTGCCGTGACAGGGAACCGTTTTATGGTCTATGAGGTTTTCTGATGTAAGGAGATGGGTGTGTTATGAGGAGAAATATTTATTGTTTATCATTAAAGTAAAAGATAAATGGCTTTCCCACACATCTTCAGAGATGCTACTTTCAATTCTGAGCAACTGGTGCCTGTGTAAGACGTTCTTGGAAGATCAGCTGACGTTCCCCTGGGAGACTGGCTCGAGTTGCCCATTTCCCACTAATGGTACTTGGGGAGGATGTGAAACCTGGCCAGCCAGAGCGGACAATGGAGCTGCCTTGGAGGCAGCTGGGGCGGCAGGGTTTGCTGCCCAGCTTGCCTCCCCTCCCCTCCCCTCCACAGCCTCCTACAGCCAGAGGGATTCAGAACTTCCTCTTGCTTGGAGAGGGGGGGCAGACTGCCAACCTTTTGCCATCCCTCCTGGGCACAGCCATTTGCAGAAAGGCTGAGAAAAATGTGCTTAGACACCTTTGGGAGGCTTTGGGTGATGGGTCTTTGTATTTCAGTCCCCATGGACAAGGATGACCAGCCTCAGTTCTCAGTTTGTCTGTGCTTGGGCAAAAGTGGGTCTCCTTCACCACGAGCCTTGGCACGTTTACGAAGACCCATGCCTTTTTCCTGTTAACTCCTTGCAGTGGCCAGATAAGCAGCAGTAAAGTGGTGTCAACTTGGTGCAAAATTCAAAGTGGAGAAGGAGGATTGGGAGCCACAATTTCCCTTGTCAGAGAGGCAACTATTATTAATCATAATCCAAGCACATAAATGGTTGGCTTTGGAAACAGTTTATTTAATTTATATGCATGCTTGAGCAGGGTGGGTGCCTCCCATGTAAACTCATATGGCTTTTTGCAGAGTCTTTGCAGAGAGACTCGAATATAGCTGTTGGAATGAGTTAAATCTTAAGAGATTGACACATCTTCTGATAAATTAAGTTGCCAGTGAGAGAAGATAAGGATTTGTTGGATCCTTGACTCCTGGTAGAGTAAAATTCCCAGCAGATGTTAAGATAATTTGAAGTGCTCCTATTGAAAATCTGAAACCTGGTCAGATTTTCTGAGGCAGAAAGATGCACAGATGATCATCAATAAATTCTCACAACAATGTCACTTTTTTTCTCTCCTTTTATTCTTGCCCAAATACTTTCAATATGAGTTCTGTAATTCTATGCAAGTATATATTTTCTTTATGCGGCATGCAATCTCTCTGTTTTTCTGCTGTTCCTTTTGAATAAACTGGAGACTTTCTGTGCTCTGTGCCAGTCACACACATCATCCCACTGAGTTTCAGCACTGCCTGCCATGTCACATTTGTCTTCCTGAGGGAAAGTTTTTCCTTCATTTTCTTTCCAGTGTGCATTGATTTACACATCACCTAACCCCTCCTAGCCTCTGTTGTAGTTTTCAGTCATCTTTTGGAGTCATTTCCCCATCTTTGTCTTCTGCTGTCTTGGCTCTGGTCCTTGGCTGAAAAATGGAAGGTGACAAGCAAACAGAAATATTCATAATTAATCGTTAGCAAGGGGAATTCATTATGAGTTAGCACCACAAACTAGCTAAATTGCCAAGAATTTGTAAAGAAAAGCTTGTGAGATTAATTTATTAACCGTATTGCTGCAATAATAAAGTAAATCAAATAACAACATGCCAGTGATTTGTTCTTACTTCACCTCATAATTATGTGTGGAGTTAATCATGTGTGATAGAAAACTCAGCTAAGAACACAATAATAATTTATTAAAGCTGGCAAGTTGACAGTGAGTCACTGCTCTTCTGCGGTTAATGCTGAAGAATTCAGAGACTGGTCATCCCAGGTTTAAGATAAGGTTACAAAGATGGAAGGTGAACCTGCTATCCATTTGGCCATTGGCAAGAATTGTTTTACATTGGAGAGCTTTCAGGGTGTTGAGATTCATGAATGCTGTCAAATTGATTGTTATTCTCATAGTCTGACCCTGCATTGCAATTTGAAAAGGAGAGGTGTGAACACTCCTGTTGTCAGTGTCAAGGGTAATATGGCTGTTCTTGAAGATGTGAAACAGAAACGGGTGCTAGGGAGCAGCCTCCGAGAGAGCCGCCACCAGACAGAGTCAAGAGCCTTGTTAGTCTTGCCTCTCCCTCTCTTGCATTTCCCAAAGCTTTTCCTGCAAATCGATCCTTTCTGAATCAATAATGTGGAGAATGTGTAATTTTTATTGTTTTAACACTATTATTTGTTTTCAAATAAAAACTTTTCTAGTTTCTCCTTCTGTCAATAATAAAAGCAAAACAGATGCTACCTGATACGTTTTGTCAGCATCTTGTTATCCATTTGTAATAAAACCTGAACATTTCAAATAAAATTGATTTAATATGTTTATAACTATTGTTCAAATAAAATATATTTTCAATCTTTTGTACTAAACATACTTCAGTATTCATCATACTTTGAGCTCCAGTATTCAAATTATACATCACAGATTTTATGAAGATGTGAAGTGACTTAATATCTGTGAAAGATGCTAAAATAATATTTAAAAGATTCAATGTCAAATGTTTCTCAAAAATGGTACGGTGGTTTTCCTGCTGCTTTACAATTTTGTTTCTGTATTAGTGATTATGTTTCATGGTTCCAGGAAGTCTGGAAGTGTCTCTTTGGTCCTTTTCAACCATTACCCTGGTTGCTGGAAAGCTTCTTCAGGGGAGGAGCAGCTGAGCAGGGCACCAGCCCTCCAGGGAGATGCCATCCCAGGCAAAGGCTAGAGAGGACCGGATAGCAGGCCTTTGGCTCTGATTGCTAGCTGGACCTAGGCTAAGCATCCCATCTAGGTGTGGAAACTGCCAGGCCCAAGTCGGCTAAAACAACCACTTCTGCCTGGGTTCATAGGACCGACCAAGTTTCCACCAAACTTTGGCTGCACATTTTTTTAGACTTGTCCTGGGATTTTGAGGTGGTAAGGAGAGGGGCGCGAGGCAGCCTTTATGAGACCCCTTGCCCAATGTTCCTGGTGGAACCTTCTGCTTGATCCAAAGCTCGGGGACCATAACAAACTTTGGGCAGGATTTGGAGAGCAGCCACCTGCTTTTGTTCTAGGCTGTTGTTTCCTTCTTGCCCTGCCACTTTTTACTGCCTATTTCTTTTGCCTTTGACAGACGCTGGCTGCCCGAAAGCCGGGGGTCTCGCTGGCCATGCTTGTCCGGACATCCCCGAATAACGAGATGGTAAGAGCAAGAAAGGAGCCTCTTCCTGGGGCCTCCACCAGTGCCGTGCTTTGGGTGGCAGACCTGCCTTACTGCATAGTGGTAAGGAAAAGAAGCTCGTCTTGAACTGAAGAAAATTCCCCCCCTCCCCAAAAGGAAGGGTAGGTAGAAAATGAACCCAGCAGCACCAGTGCTGTGCCCAGCTTCCATGCCCTGCCACCATATGGAATCCACTTTTGGCTGAAACGAATCCTAGATTCCCCTTTCTGCTATAAAAGTGTGCTTGTGCACTGGGGACAAATTTCTTGTGTATCCAATTACACTTGGCCACTAAAGAAGAAAGAATTGTAACGTGTATCTGTATGTGGGGTGAGTGGGTGCTTGCCCTTACATTTATGTGCAGCTGGCTGAAGCCACACTCAAAAGACTGGGTAAGGGCAGGGCAAATTAATTAAATCGGTAACAACCAATGGAGAATGGCTGCCTCTGCACCCAGTGGCCGTTTTCTCTCCTACGGAGACGAGGCACGCCTTTCCTCTCTCGCATCCCCTGATGGTTGTGTTCTTCCTACAGAAGCTGCACGTTTTCAAAAAGACTCTGCAGGCGCTCATCTACCCCATGTCCTTGACCACTCCACACTACTTTGAAGTGTGGACAGCCACAGCCCCCACCTATTGCTACGAGTGCGAAGGGCTGCTCTGGGGCATTGCCCGGCAGGGAATGAGATGCAGTGAGTGTGGAGTGAAATGCCACGAGAAGTGCCAAGACCTCCTCAATGCCGACTGCCTTCAGAGTGAGTCTTGGGTGCCCCCTCTTCCTTTCTAGCATGGGGGCCTGCTTCTGTGGGCATCCTGGAGTGGGAAAAGAGGCTACAGGCAGCCTGTGTTAGGATTGACTGGTACTGTGGGCCACTGACCCTTCTCTGCTGCCTCTACCAGCTCCAGGACTTACTCACTTTGCTGATTGTCCGGTTCATGAAACAATTGACCCATCAGCTGGGTTAGCCCAAGAAAGTCAGTAAAGGGTGGCCACCTCCTTTGTGGTTTGGTGGGTTAGGCACCCTCTGCCTTGAATTGCCTCCCCCCCGCCCCCCCATGTTTATGGGCATCGCTTCCCGCAGGGTCAGCTTAGATCAAGCCAAAGCCCTGTAGATGTCATGGGCTCCTCTGCCTCAGCAAAGGCAGGCCTCAGTGCTCCCCCCAACCCATGTGTGGTCAAGGCAAAACAGGGGCTTTAAAGCTCTTCCATCTGGGTTTCTGTTGGGGCGCCTTGGCAGCAGCATGCAGTAGTGGCATTTCCCAGGGACATTTGCTGTATTTGGTGCCCAAGGAACCAGCCCTTTAAAATCCCAGGAGGGGATGGATCAGAGGGCCTGTTTCTGAGGTTTCAGGAATCCTTCCTCATGACTGGACCAATGAATTCTGACATGTAATACGATCATTTTGGTATTCCCTCAGGGGCAGCAGAGAAGAGCTCAAAGCACGGGGCTGAAGATAAAACCCAAAGCATCATTACAGCCATGAAGGAGCAGATGACAATTCGGCAGAAAAACAGACCCGAGATCTTTCACCTGATCCAGGAGGTGTTCCAGGTTTCAGAGGAAGAATTCTCAAAGCACACAAAGACGGCTAAACAGAGTGTCCTGGATGGCACCTCCAAGTGGTCAGCAAAAATAACAATCACAGGTGTGATAGTTCCCCAGCTTTTATCTCCTTTTGTGTCTTTGTCCAGCAAACTACCTTGTGGCCTGTGAATGAAAACAAAACAGTGTGGCATTATGAGAAAAGGCTGTTCTGCTAGATTCCATGAGGAGGTTGAATTGGCTCAGGCTGAGCTTACCTTTTGTGACTCGGGCTGAGCCTAAAAAGAGTCGTCTGATGGGGTTGAGTAGTGGATCACTCTGCCCAGAGCAGAGAGAGATTCCCTTCCCTTCAGGTGCTCACTTAGACTGGAAGCACCACCCCTGCCCGCAACTGGTCAGAGTTTAATGGATTCCTTCCCAGGCCCAGGGGGTGGATCAGATGTCCTCTTTGGTCCTTTCCAGCTCATGTGTGCTGCATTCATGGTGAAATAACAACTTTCATCCCTTTCTAGCAGATAAAAATCAATTCATTTATGCAGCCCCAGGCTTACAGGGGAGAATGGAAATACTCCAGGGGTTTTGACATGAATCTCCCCTTGCTGTCAGTGCCCTACTCTGACATCCCATAACCCAAGTTTGCCACCACCTCTGGCAGGGAAATTTCTGCTAAATCAAATTATCTTTTCTTTTCATTATGCTACCTTTCATAATATCTTATTATCTGTAATTTTACTTTATGGGAAGAAATGCTCTATTGTCTCAAACTGAATGTAAGGTATGAGGAATATGTCTCCTGCAGACCTTATGGTTCTTATCATTCGGCATAACCATATTAACTGACAGTTAATAGCTGGTTGATTTATTTATTTATTTATTTATTTATGCAAACCAGTTTTATTGCTCAGTCATGAAACTATACAAATCCAGTCCTTTATATATATAAAAGCGAAATTCCATTCATGCATCATCACAAAATCTCCAGAACTGTAAAACCTACAAACTTGAAATTTGGCACGTATGTTCCTCTTGGCTTCTAGAGGCTCACTCAGAAAGGATTTTTTGAAATGACCATCAGAGCATTGATATTTTGTATATTATTAACACGCTCTGATGCTAAGGAGTTCCCACCTGAAAAGAAATCTCTTCCAAAGGCAAAGCACAACCAGAGGAGAGGAGTTTCAGTTTTACTTTCACAGCATCAAGCAGCTTTAGTACAGAACAGTTGAGCTAAGCCATGTCCAGGCTCCTTGCTGTCTCCTTCTTGCTCACACAGCAAATACTGTTTCAGTTTCCAAACAGCCCTCAACTCTCTCACACACTGACAGGACGCTACCCAGATGGATGCTGGTGGGCAGAGGCAGATTTCCCCCTCCCTTAATTTCCTCCCCAAAAACTATGCCCGACCACATAGTTTCATAGCGAAGCACGGGTATCGAGCTAGTTAAGCATATAAGGAACCTACAGCAGGAATGTATCCAGAACTTTACGCAAAAGCATACTGTGGAAATGGACATATTCTGTTGTGATGCCATAGTAATGACAATTATAGGCAGAGGCTTGAGTAAAGTGTAATGCAGGATTGTCAAACTCGTGTTGCCATGGCGTTGTCACATGACATATTGGGACTTTTCCCCACTTAGGGGCAGGGCCAGCACATGATGCATCTGGCCCGTGGGCCACGAGTTTGACACCCTTGGTGGTGGAATGAATTTTGTTTGTGGGATGAGTGAACGTGGCAGGAAGAAGGGCAAGGCCCAGGAGCGTCTCACGGCCAAAAGCTGTCTCTTTCTTGAATTTACAGAAGAATTTGCTTCTTTTGGTCCATGGAATCCTAGCATTGGAAGGGATCTAGCTCAGAGGCCCATCCCACAGCATCGGCTGCCCAACCAGGGATAACTTTTCAGTAGTAACCCCAAAGCATCCAGCAGAGAAGAGATGCTCCGCCCAAACCAGTGGTCAGCTAATTGCCATGGAGCCCTTCATCTGGGTGGGGCTCAAGAATTTGGTAGGCAGGAGAGGAATCCTAGAGATGACCTGTCCCTTATTCTGGCCAAGCTACACAACTAAGTAAGAAGGAACAGGCCCTGAAAAGAGAAACCAGCTGTCAGCCTTACCGGAAACACGGCCAGATAAGTGAACTCTACTTTGTTGTAAATCTACATTGACAGAATTTTGCAAGTCTGGAAGTACCATTCTCTTGTCTTCAGCCTTTAGAGCCTGAGAACGCAAGAGAGAGTCCCTTGGGAACCTCTTGCTTGGCTCCCTGTGCAGCTGGGGGCTGCTCTCCCTTTATCTGGCCACTTGGTGCCACCTCTGCCAAGGTCATTGCAGCATTCCACTCCATCACAGACTGTTTGGGCTGCAGGGTCTTGGCTCATCTGCTTGGATGAAATTGTGATATTGATAGGAAGTGGCTCTTTTTCTCCCTCCAGGGCATAACGGGAAAGAGCAGACCTTGAGCCAGCAAAATAAAAAATAAAAAACCTGCCCGGCTGGTCTCCTCTCCTTGGCTGGGGAGTCTCTTTCAGAGGCTCTTCACCGGGCTCCCTTCCTGCGCCAGGATGACTGTTTGTTGAACAGTTTAAACCTGTCCCGATCTTCCAAGTTCAAGCAGAGCTTTGGGGGAAGTGGGACATGGTGAGCCAACACTTTTCTGAGCAGGCATCAGATCAGCCCACTGTCCTACCAGGGACTCTTCAAAATGTGGCTACCCTGCAGCTGTCTGGATGCTGTAAATAATACAGGCAAAATTAATATTAGGAATTGAGAAGAAGGGTGTGAAGAAGGTGTGGCTGGGATGCAGCTCTAGCTTCCAGTGGCCTCAGCTTGCTGCTGGCTGAGCAATTTGCTTTGTTATGAATTGTGATGGAAGAAGCAGCTGACAAGTATTTATATTTATAGCAGCATAAGCACACAGTAGCTAGCATAAATTCTAATATCTGCAATGGGAGAGTTTTCAACGGGGCTTGCAAATTGGAGAAATGGGATCTGGAATTTGTGCCTTGCCCCTGGACAAAACATGCCATTTCCTCCTGAGAGTGAGATATTTGAAAGATTTACTGGGATATGCGAGGCAGAAAACATGCTTTGACTTATCCCACCTTCCTTAGGGCAAGGGAGCGTTTTCCAACTCAAGGCTTTCTGTTGGTAATAATCCACCCCAGCTGGAGGGAGCTGGACTGGTGGGATGTGAGTGGAGAGGCACAATTCCTTTTCTTCTACCAGAAACCCCTCCAGCTTCAGCATCTGCTTTGCTGGTTTCAGGCTATATTGTCCATTTTGAGTCTAAGACTTATCTGCTTCTCTGAGTTTTCTAAATTGTTTTTTTTAGCCAGGGCCATATTTATTTCTATCATATGATTGATGCATACTAGATATATGTCTTCCTGCACGGACAGTTTCCACCAAGGACAAAAAGAAAACCAAGCCAAAGTGTTTGTGTTCATAGAAATCCAGGTGATGTAGATCTATCCCTGAGACCACAATAAATAAGCATCTCCAAGTCAAAAGAGCAGCTCCCTTTTTTGGAACCCAACCTTTGGTCTCCTCTGGCTCTGGATCCGTTAGGATCTTCCCAGCTCTTAGTGTAGATCTGAATCGAATCTCTTTGCCTTCCCTCAGTGAGAAGAGGGGGGGCTCTGCCCTCCTTGGGCTCAGGGGTCCAAAGACACAAAAAAGGAAGAGGAGGAGGGAGACCAGCAGTTTTCAAATGTTATGGGACTCAGAGCCTCCTCCTTTGCTGCAGCTACCAAGTGATTTACCAAGCTGGTTTATCACTGGCTTGGAGGAGGGGGCTTCCTTCCTCCCCTCTCCTTTCTCCAGAACATCTATCTGTCTCTGCCATTTGTCTTCTAGGTGGGCAAGACAGAGGTATAGCAGTGGGGCTGAAACCAAGCTCTCTACTTGCCCTCTTCTCTTGTTTTGACCTCTGCCTGCTCTCACTGACTTTCAGCTGATCTCTTTGACCAGGTGACTGCTCCAGGGTCTCCATCAAAAGGTCTCTGTCTATTGCTTGACTTTTCCCTAGTGAGACTGACCAGGCAGAGGGTCTGAGACCTTTGGGATGCAAAGCTTGTGCTCCCCCTATTGCATGCAAGAGCGTCATAGTTAGGGGCCAATCGTGATGTACCAGTTGGATTCAGCCATTTCTCTGTCTTGTTCTTACAGTGCTTTGTGCCCAAGGCTTGCAAGCAAAGGACAAAACTGGCTCCAGTGATCCATACGTTACTGTGCAAATTGGTAAAACAAAAAGGAGAACAAGGACTATCTTCGGAAACTTGAATCCAACATGGGATGAAAAGTTTTATTTGTAAGTACTAAAAATACGGGGGTTGCATTCTTGTTCGTTATCATTATTCATGATATATATTTGCATGTTTATCACTTGGGCTGTACAAAAAGCCTTGGACTTTCTCATTCAGCTGACGTACAGCCAAAATATTGTTTCTTAAAGTTCACGCATTTGCATTTTAGAATAATCAAGGAGCTGTGCACATTCTAATTTTGGAGGATGGGAAGGTAGATTCTTCTGCCTCTTTCATCTTTTCATTTTCTGGCCAGGGAAATGGTCAACTTTTGATA